GGTAGAGCATGGGAAGCTGAAAAGTCCTTGACTAGTGTAAGCACTGCTTAGCAACAACTAAAACATCGGTGTGTTATCAACATTGTTCTCATCCTAAATCCAAAACACAGCACTGTGCCAGCTACTAGGAAGGAAATTAACTCTATCCCAGCTGAAACCAGGACACCCAGGCATGTGCTTTGCACGTGCAGTAGGAGAATCCAGTGGAGGCTGCTGCCTAATGCTGGATTTCTTGGGTCTCAGTTCTTTGTGCTGAAAGCAGGAAGTAAAAGATCTGGCTTTCCTGAACCTGCGCTTGAAAACAACACTGAGTTGTGAGCAAACATTTTGATAAGGGAAAAATTTTCCTCGAGAGCCCTGAGGTAAGCAGGTAAGAAGAGGGAATGGGGCAAAACATGCAAGAAAAGACCCACGGCTGGAAAAAAACAAGTCTGCGCACTGTGGTAAAGACCCCCTCACCTTTATTCATCCAAGGTGATTGCATTTCTGCCTAGCAGAGAGACACAGCCAGGACTTCAGGCCAGCCACACTGCCCGTTTCAGCTGACATGTCGATGTTACTTTGGACGCAGGAGTGCTCGACTGACAGACCAAACTATTTGCCACCGTAACAGAAAATCGATCTTCAGTAAGTAGTATCAGGACGGGTGTTTCAGAAAACGCGGACACCAGTCGTGATGCCAGTCTGGCAAATGATGCCGGCAGGACTCTTGAGGACAGTCTCCCCTCTGCTCTCTCTGCTTTCACTATGCTGTTCCCCCTGCAACTACTTCCAGCTTGCCCTCACACGGGTGATGAACCGTGCAGATGGTATGCGGGGGCAAGTGGATGAAGAGTTTCACATTCGTTAGGAGCAGCCTTGTTACATTTCCCTGAGCTGGTACTTTGCGCAAGCCGAATGCTTCTAATGTTATCTCAGGCGCCATATGGGTGGGAAGCGTTGAGACTTCCTGCACGGAGCCGGAGGAACGTGCTTTAGGCGGCTCACGCGCTCCCTCTGGCACCCGCTCCGTGGGACCCTTCGCAGCCATGCAGCTGCGCTCTCCACTGCTGCCTCCCCCCAGCTCTCCTCCTAGTTTCACGCATAGTGTCTCCATCTGCCCCACTCCACTTCGGCTCCTACAGCCTCTCCACAGCCACGTTTAGGCTCTAGCTGAGTGCCAAGCCCCTAGGATTTTCAGCCAAGACAAAACAAGGGTTAGCCTTTGCATTCCAAGCAGAGCTGTGTGCAAGGTCAGAGAAATAACAAACTGGACCTGATGGTCCAAATCCAGTAGTCATAAACCCCGTGTAATCTTAAAGGAAATGACAGCCTCTCTGCCCAGCACGCCTTCCCCAGCCTCCCAGCTGAACTGCGACAGCTTTTAGATTTGTTGCCTGCTCACAAATGCCCTTTTTTTCCTTTTTATCTCCTTTCAGTACTGTCATCTTGTATGATTAAATAGGAGTCAATAGTGTCACTGTATGAGATCTAGATAGCTCAGTAGTGTAGCATATGCTGATTCACCTAGGCTTGCTTCTTATTTGGCTTCTAAATACAGAAGCCCAGCTCATCAGCATACAGAGCTTTATTAACAATATTCATGAGCTGAAGTTTTTGTCTCACTTGGGCCCACATTCTGTAAGTGATAATGAACTTTAAAATGTTCATATTGAGAAGATAGCCCTGTAAATCAAAACCTTTTTTGCATATTATTAGCATGGTTAAACAAGCTAAAAGCAGTTAATGACTGAATGGAGGAAGAGCAGTGTGCAGAACATCAAGAGTGATGCTGATCCAGCTGATCAGCATGAATGGGAATTGTGTTAAATACCTTATCACAGTAGGCACAATGTTGTGGACTGAGTGCTTGCGATCCTTGACAGCATCTTCCATTATCTGGGCAGATAAGCAGGCTCCATACTCAGCAGTAGAGCTTTATCGACTACCTTAACTTTTCCTCTGCATCGTTTCTAGAGGTGTAAGACAGTATGGGGACTGTTTTGGGAAGGGGAAAGTGAGAAGTACTGGAGAAATGGCTCCATCCAGCCTAGGGCCTGGTTATCCTTAGGATCTACACGAAATCCCCTCAACCCCACTGGAAAGTCTCCTCTTCTGAGATCTGGGCTGAAGTCAAGAACAAAAGCCCAAGATGTTTTGCAGCATTTGAGCAGCATTTTGCTTACTGATGGCTGCTTTTGGCAAGCAAACATCCCTGAAAGAGTGACAGATAATGCAGAATGGCAAGAGACTTGATCATTGATCAACAGGGCTAAAATTAATATGTTAATCAGAAGAATCAGCCTCACCTACTGCATTACATGTGATGTATATTTATGTGGAAAGTCTGTTCTTTACAAGCCCACAGGCTTAATATGCAATTGGAGGAGTGCCAAGGCAAGAGAGAGGAATATTAATTTTCTTACTACAGTCTACTTTAAAGTGCGTTGGTGCTGCAGCTCCAATGATGAGTCCAAACTTCAGGTTTTGATTGTTTTCCTTTTTAATGGGAAGAACTCCATGCTCTTGTCTTAATGGACTAATCTGTCCTGTTGAACTTTATATTCCCTAAAATACATAACTGCAGCACTGGACTTGCAGGTTGCCCAAGTAACCTGCTCAGTTGATGTGGGGCGAGCGATGGACATTGTCTACCTGGATTTCTCCAAGGCTTTTGCTACGGTTTCCCACGGCCTCCTCCTTGAGAAACTGATGCGTGACGGTCTAGACAAGTGGTCTGTGGGGTGGGTGGGGAACTGGCTGACAGGCCGCACCCAAAGGGTGGTGGTAAATAGCTCCTTTTCAAACTGGCAACCCCTCACAAGTGGGGTCCCCCAGGGATCATTATTGGGCCCAACACTGTTTAATATCTTCATAAGTGATCTGGATGATGGGATCAAGTGTACCCTGATGAAGTTTGCTGATGATACCAAACTGAGTGGGGAAGCGGACACTTCAGAAGGAAGAGCCACCCTGCAGGAAGACCTGGATAGGCTGGAAGAGCGGGCTAAGAAGAACGTTATGAAGTTCAACAAGGACAAGCGTAAGGTCTTGCACCTGGGAAAACATAATCCAGGAGTGCAGCACAGGCTGGGATCTACCTGACTGGGGACCAGCTCTGTGGAAAGGGACTTGGGAGTCCTGGTGGACAACAAGCTCAATATGAGTGGACAGTGTGCTGCTGTGGCAAAGAAAGCCAACAGGATGCTGGGTTGCATCAACAAGGGCATCACCAGCAGAGGTAAAGAAGTCATTACCCCACTCTGCTCAGCGCTTGTCAGGCCACACCTGGAACACTGTGTTCTGTTTTGGTCCTTGCTATGCAAAAAAGATGTGGACAGGCTGGAGAGGGTCCAGAGAAGGGCCACAAAGATGATCAAAGGACCGGTAAGCCTGACATATAAGGAAAGGCTGAGAGAACTGGTTTTGTTCAGCTTGAGAAAAGAAGGCTTAGGGGAGACCTTATCAC